TTGTATTAACGGCAGCAGCAAAAGTGAGCGAAAAAGGAACAGGAGAATTTGTAGATACAGGGTGAACAAAGATCAAATATGTAGGATACCTTTGTGCTTAATTTGTTTAAATTGCTTTGTAACATGCTTGGGAGAGAGTGAACTCTCCCTCCCCCATCATACTTCTCCAGAGATGATTTTTTACAGTGCCCTGCTCTCTGCTATTTAAAGACAAATCTATGCAAAACTTGCATCATCTGAGATGGGCCAGTTTGGAAACATTCCCTTTAAACACAACACTGTTCTTTCCCTTGCCTTGCGGCTGCCAAAGCTGTCCCTGGAGGAATTTGCATCTAACCTGGCAAAAAAAGGGAAGGGTTTGTGCTTCGTTATGATTAAAGCGACTGGCACATTGCAGAGAACCTCTGCTGTTACCATGTCCACCAGCTTCCCCTAAAATGCACTCAGCTGCCTCCACCCACAGATGTGTTAGCAGATGAAGGACCTTTTGCTGACCAGTGCATAATCTCACCCTTTCTGTTTTGCAGCTGAATGGTTCTGTTTGAGCTACTGCAGACACCCGATTGTTCCCAGCTTCTGAAAATGACAGCCCAGACTGCTGCTTCCTGTGGAGGAACTGGTGAGGCCACAGAAATGGGAGACGAAGCTCACCATCTCCTGGGGGAAAGGCATTTACATTTCCAGGAAAGTTTATTTTCTTTCATTCCTTCCCTTCAGTCTCGCTCTTCTTTCTTTGTGAATGACCAAGGCTGTAGGAGAAGGCTTAGGAAGCTTGCCAGCTTGCAATGCCAGCCCGACCCTACTGTGGTCGCTCTTCTTCCTGTGCGTGAATAACTCCAGAAAAGAGGTTTACAGTGCTGAGCACATGCAAGAACAGGCAGGTTCTCGTGTACTTAAGATGGCAAGAACTGTTTAGCGACTGCCACATAGGCCCTGTGGAGTACAGGGACATGATGAAAGCTATAGCAGATGATCTAGTCCCTGACTAGTCCCAGTATAACACCTTGGTTTTCACAGATAGTTATGTGTCGTTTCAAAAACCGATGCCTACAGTGAGGCTTCTGAGGATACCTATGGATTTTTGAGTGTAACTACAAAATTCAGGACCTTTGGCACATTCTCATCAGGCTTGCTACAAAGTCCCCTGCTGTAGTTTGCGAGGTTTAATTCACCAGTGTTTGTCGTGCAGCTGTAGTGGTTTCAAGCAGGGGCCAGATGAATGCAAACCGCGAGAGCTGTCTGACTCTGCCGGGCTGGATTACTGGGTACTGGTGGGGCGCGAGCCAAGGGATTGCACTCTAAGGCTACAGGGCAGTGCTAGTGCAGGAATATTCCTGACATGGCTACTGGAAAATGGCAAACCAACTGGAGACTAAGTTACATAACGTTAACCAAGTTTTACACATCGGAGGTGACAGTTACTCAAATGTCCCAAGCATTATTAACCTCTTACATTAAAAACAGAGCAAAAAATCAGCAACTCCCTGCACAATGTCTGTGTAGATGGGGGCAAAATATATGACCGTTAGTGTCATTACTGTGCCGCGGAATAAAGTTCCTGACTAAGGGGTCAAGAACTTAGGAAAGGGTCTGGGGCGGTGGGATTCCTCAACTGCCAGTGCTGTCACTGAGTTATTGCACCCATAAGCACCTACGTTACCTCTCCACAGCTTAGAGAGTTGAATCTGTTCAGGGGTATGTGAGAAAGATTGGTGGATTCATTAAACTGGTGACTTTTGTAGGGGTTATTATGACTCAGAGTAACTATAGTTGTAAAGCAGCTGAGGAAATGACTGCTAGATCTGTTGTTCCTAGTACCAAGAACTGAGATTAAGCTGGGCTGTTGGGATTTTTAAGAGAGGTGGTGTTCACTTAACATGAGATCTATCACAGATTTGTTACCAAAAAAAGCCTTTTTCACTCCTAATCTGGGCAGGGGGTCCCATGTATAACGTTAAATTATTATTATCTCCAGTGAAAATTAGACACCAAATAAACTGAAATATTAAATAACTTGCCTGAAGTGAAACACTAACACCTCAGTTATAAACAAAGCAAAAACTGTGTATAGATGATAGTTCTGGAAGAGCTTGAATATGTAAATGAAGTAGTAGCTAGGAATCATAAAGGCATTTTCTTTCTAATCACAACATTATACAACTTTTAGACTGAATACCCCGAAGTACACATTTTCTTGTAGTAAGAGGAAGCAAAATTTTGTTTTGAATAATACAAAATAGGATTTAATGTTTTAAACGCTTTTTCAACACTGACTGTCAGACCCAACACAATGTCTGAATTGTGAAATTCCAATTTTAATTTCACTCGCAAGCTTGTGTTTTACAAATAAATTTATCACTGTTTTGCTTAGTGTAATGGAATTATCACTTGATAAACAGTGTCCAGGTAGGAAGTAGTTTTTCTGTTCCTCCAATACTACCGTAAAGATGGAGTTTTTAAGCTCCACTTCACAACAAAGGCTTGTGGTTTCCTGGGAGGAGTGCATTCAGGTGATTCACATACTATCACAGCTCTACTCTTCACTGATGTCCTTGGACTCTTCTTCTCCAGGTATGAACAATTGTGGTGACCCCATGCAAGGGAGAGACAAACTGAAAGTGAGGAATGGCAACTACAATGCTGAAAGGCACAGAATATAGAGCTTACTAGGCTTAGCCATCAAAAGTGGGATTTCACTGCCTTGTAAGTATGAGGGAAAAATGGAAAGGTAGGAGAGAAGTAAGCTGAAGACGACAGTGTTGGCACAGGAACAAGGCGATGATAAAGTAGTGCTGAACACGTTTAGGCTGGCCTACCAAATAGCAGCAAGATGCGGAGGGAGGATAAAAATCTAACTGATTTTAAGAGAGCAATAATTTTATGAAAAAGATCACATATGATTGCCTACAATAGCAGGCATATTATTCTCTCTCTGGGTAGCAGTCTCCGTAAGTAGGACTGTAATGTGAAGTAGTTTGGCTGGTCGGATAATGACAATCCTACTCAGCCTCTCTCGTTTTATACACCTTTTTCTGAGCAGTCTCAGCATTTCTGGCAAAGATGGTAAGAGCCAACAAGAAAATACCCAACGCTTTAGGCAAAGCTTTGAAAGCAGGTTCTCATAGCCTCCTAAATGTTGGGCTAGAAAATCCCAGTATCTTCTTGCAGAATGACTTGAGATATACCCCTTGAAGCCATCAGATGCTTGTCACGCTTCTCATCCCGTGGACAGCCCTTTATGTCTCCACGGGCAACTTTTATCTACCTGCAGATAGCACCACTCCGACACTGGAAAAGTCTTTTCAATTTCAAGTCTTTCTTTTCTTTACAACTATTCTACAGCTGTGTAATAGCTTTGTATGAGAACTCTATGCAACTATCAGTTCTTCACTTCATTAGGCCCTACAACATTTTAACTATAACTTCAGTATTTACCACAAGGATTTCCTCTGTATTGACTTCCTCAGCTCCTCTAACACTACAACTACTTCATCTCAGTGATTCTCACCTTCTAAAATAAACAGTACAGTATGAACTACCTGAGATTTTTTTAAGGCTAGGCTGCAAAGGCAGCAAACCTTCCTTAAACTGAAGAAGTTTGTTACAGATGTTTTTCACAGCTTGAATCTTATGGAACAGATTCTTGAGTATCGACCTTCTCCTTTCAGATTTTCCTATTACATATTAAATTTTCCAGTTTACCTTGATACTTTTAAAGGAATAGGCTGCATTTACACTTATACTCTAGCCTGCAATCTGTGGGGATGTATAAAATTAATTAACAAAGCTCTGTAGTTAATTGCACACTTCTTAAACAACTTCGTGTTTCCAAACACAAGAGACAATGTTTTGTGTCTGAAGGAGAGCCAAATGTTTTATGAGAGGTGGGACTTTGCCATAAACAAAACATTTGGATCCAGTGTTGCAGTTTGGAGCATTACAGAAGCTGACCAGAAAGAAGAGTCAGAATTTTGTTCATTTTCTGCACTTACTCCTCCACACTTTCAATGAACATATAAAGTTTTAGGTCAGGGTCATCACCTGTAATATGGCACAGAGTTGGTGTCCATGGAAAAAGGAGCCCTGATATTATAATGAAGAGAAGACAGTTTAAAACTTGAATCCATTTGAACAGGAAACAAAAGATCCTTCTTCAGCAACAAATGTGAACATCCATTAAGCCAGCCTAGAAACTGGGCACCACCACAAAGATGCTGAGGTAAACCAGGACAACATCTCTTCTAGACTGAAAAGTATTCACAAAATCAGTCAGCAGTTCATTTTTTAATTAAATGAAGATTTATACAAGCAAACAACAGAACACTTTGGGGAAGTATAAGCACATATTGCCACAGGCTTTCCTACAGTACGGACAACGGCTCTCAATTTTTACTTTCCCAGTCTGGTTTTTATACACTGAAGGCAAAGCCCAGAGTCCAATAAACCCAAACGTATATTATCTGAACACCTTTTTTCTTTTCAAACACAAGGAGGAAATGACTTATTGCTAAAGATATTCAGACTAATCATTTTGCAAAGGGTGCTATGAAGCTGATCAGAAGGGAATGTGTTGTAGCATAATAGTTATTATAGGATAATGCTTTGAAATAAGGCAGTCTGCAGCGTGGCTGTGCTTCACTGCAAGGGAGAGAGTGCTCCATCCAGCACGCACCTCAGTACACGCACATTCCAGAGAGAGGCACCCTCCTTGCCTGCTAATGCTGGAATGCTGGTTAATGTATTAACCTGCTCTAGCCTTTTAGATCCTCATTTCAGGGCAGAGAGATAGCACTTGCTTCACTGGCTGCAGCTATTTCCTATTTTCAGTTATGACCATTGTGAGTAAGCTACACTCTGAGCCCTCAAATCCTTTTCTGAAATAGAGACCAGCTTTTGTTCAACAACATACTAGGAAAACACTTGGGCATCACAACAAAGGAATGTTTAAGTGTTAGCTTTTCAAAAGCTATCGTATTGACTCAATAAAGAAATCTCTTGAATTGTGTTTTGTTAAAACATAAATTCATGCAACTTATGAGAGCTGTAGGTGTAGATATAGAATACTTCCCCTCCTTGCTGCTGGAATCCAGGCCTTTTGAGTATTCATTTGTTTGCAACAGCAGAAAGTTGGTCCCGGATCCTTCCTAGACCTTCTAACATAGTGTCCAGGGTTTCTTTGCTCAGTTCCACAGTCAGTGCAGAAACAACAGGACTATTTCCACATAAGGCAACATCTTCCTTAATCTGAAAATAGGAATGCAGAGGTTAGCTGTATGCAAAATTCATAGACGTATTTTTCCAGTGCTACTATGAAAGTCAGTGTTTACTAGATAGATTAAGAAAAATGCTTTAAATTTGGCATCCAGCTCCATCCTGAAGGACCATAGCACATTTTCTAAGAGGTGTGCCTCACTAGTGAAGTGCACTCCCACTGACAGAGTGCAAGTAAGCATATATCACCATAAGTACAGGGAAATTTTGAAGAGACTTGTGGCAGGAAGCCACCTCCGTATCAAAAGCATCTTAGCAGATACCGCACAGGATACGTAACCCCATCCCACACACAGAAATTAGATTTTTTTTCCTCCTCCTCTGAAACCAACCCATCCCATTTTTATTGGTTGGGGAGATCCAGAACTCTGTAGAATATCAGCAGTAAGCTTAGCTACACTCCCCAAATGCTACATATGGCCAGTGAAGGAAGTTATTAGTAGGCAAAAGTAATTTCCCAACTAATGCAGTCAGCTAAACACGCTGATGAGTGGCTTAGAATTAAATGGCGATGACTTCATAATTTATCGTCTTTCTTTCTGTAGAGAACAGACAGGTCCTGATGACCAGGAACAAATATGCTGCCTTCTCGCATCCTCATGCAGAGAAAACTCTCCCTTGCAACAAAAAGAGGGCTTTCATCAGAGACATCATTTCCAGGCTCTGAGGTATTTCAAAGATCATCTCTGAGAAAAGTCTGTTAATTGCCCACCAGGCAGTAGGCAAGCATCAGATGCCTGTCTAAACTGTTTTGCCCTACCACTGGTAAGTCATGCGTTGGACTTGATTATTTTGATCCTGCCTCCTTTACAGCCACGGACATTACCTTTAACTGAAGCAGGCAAGTAGGGACTGCCATTCTGCTGATGCTGTCTGAAGACGTCTTGATGTCCACCCTCCAGTCCATGTCGACCAGCTGAGGCAGGGAGACTGAGGGATTAAAAAAAGGAGTCTGTTATGCCCAGCAATGCACAATGACACCAGATCCTGGAACCTGTAACTGCCACCACGTACGTGTGCCTCCAGTTCTGGCCCTGGGAAGTGTACAGCTTCAGTGCTACTATGCAATACGCCAGTCTCTGAAGACCTCCTCATGATACTGGAAGGACAAACAGGGTTCTCCCATCATCACATGCAAAGATGGTACAGTGCAAGACAAGCATAGGTAAATTCACAAAGCAGCTGGGAGAAGGGGAGCAGTAAGATGTCTTCTCCACCTCTTCATCCCCTGCCTTGCTGCCTGCAACATTCAACTAGTCTTTCATCGTGAATTGCTCTGAGACCCACATGCTTATTGCTCTATTCCGTAACTGATAAGAAAGCACACAAGCACTCTCTTAAAATCCAGCAGTATAAAATGTTACTTCGAGCTCCCCAACCTGTGAACCAAAGAATCCTGCAGTACAGCATAAACTGCAATCTTCACATATCCTGCCAATTTTTAAAAAAATCTCGAATATATCATCCTAGTTAGATGTAGCCTAACAGAAATTATTCAACAGTCTCGTGCAATACTGACATCAATAGTTGAGGGCTGGAGACCCCATGAGCCTTCCAAGGGAAGAAGAAGAGGTCTGACTTGGCTACCCTGCTAAGAAATTTGTGCAGCTATCTCTTGCAGAGAGGAAATAGATATTCTTTCATCATGGTGTGTACTTAATGGAGCTCACTGCACTATGAACCCTCAAGAGTCCCTAAGCACTGTGCAAATGGACATAAAAGCTGAGATTAAAGTTCTCCCAACAAAACCCTGGCACCAACAGGCTGCAAGTGCTCTTTGTCAGTTCCTGGGAGCGTGATGGTTTTTCAATAGTGTCTTTCAGCTGCCAGTAATAATTACAAGGAATGTTTGAAGAATATAAACAAGTGTAACGGAGGCAGGTATTTAGACAGATGGCATGCAGAGATCTTTCCTCCCTATTTGAACAAAACAAAGTTTCCTACTTTAAATTTAAAAAATACATTTTAACTCAAAAAAATAATCAGTATTGACATTTTCATCTCAGATTTACAAGTGTTTTCTCACACAAACTGCAAACCAGAGGAAAGCATAATTACTTATCCAACCAGATAACAAAAAAAAAAAATGCAAGTGTTAAAAGATGAGCCTTGAATCCTTGACTGCCCTGTGGTAAAGCACAATTTACCGCTGGAATCCAGAAATTTGGAAAATGTCTGTAAGGTAAGTTACTTGTTTAAAATGTGTAAAGAAAATAAGTTGCAAGGTGCAGTTTAACAGGGCACACTTAAAGTCATTCCCACTTTGGTACTGTCATATTTATAAAACTCGGAACACCTTTCACACCTTTTTCAACCCCACTTTCTGGTGCGAGCTGAGCTATACTTGCTATGTTCAAAAGTGCAGGATCCAGTTTCCTGGGAAAAACAGTAAATTCTGACTAGAAGTAAGTCCACACCAAGGAAACAAAGACAACCCCTTCTGGTTTAAAAAGGGAATTTGCAGCTAAGGGGCTTAACTGCTGTAACCATGTCAGAATAAACAGCTACAGGGTGCCTGAAGAAAAATTGTTCCTGTTTATGTCAGCTAGGGATTTCCAAAGAAGTCTGAATGAAAGGTCAGACCAGCCCCATAAAAGATCTGTGGGGAGGTGACTGTTTATTATCAAACTCAGTTTAAAATCTCAGCTGTGGTGCTTGACAGGTTTGAGTGCCTTTGCAAAGCCTTATCAAACCTGGTTGTCAGCAGTTCTTTGACATCTATTCAAGGGTACCAGAAGAAGGGGGATGAAGACGCAGTTGTTGAGTGCTAAGGAAAGAGCTGTCTTTTAATAGGCAATTGCAGCCTGTCTGGATTCTGCCTATCATAAGATGCCTAGGTGCCTCCCCAAGGGTTGATTGCTAGCCTTCCTACTGACTCCAGATGCTCAAGTTGCTTCCTAACAGTGCTTACAGAAATTCTTTCTACCTGGGGAAAGGCTCTCCCTCCTGCTCCCCTGGGCAGAGCTCCAGGGGGAGTGCAGAACTGGCTGCCCAGCTCTTGCTTCTGGAACAAACTCCAGTTTACAGTCTGTCAGGGCCAGCACTTGGCAGCATTTGCAACAACATAAAATCCATCTGTTTAGCCTTGTATGTTAATTTGCAAAGATTGATTGTTGGCTGCTTGGGAGGGGCAGGAACCATCCATGTTTTTATGTTAGCATAGATCAATCAGTTGGAATGTCTGTTCTTTAAATCACTGCCTTGGTCCCTGTGTGATGTATGTCACATATTTTGTGAATACAATACTCAAAGAATCCATCATTTCCTAGAATACAATCTCATTCCAACAGGAATGAGGGGTTAACAGGGTTAAATATTCATCTAATGAATACAAAGACATGAGTGCTAGGCAGAGGTCCTGGGTGGTGCCCCAAGAGCCATGCATCCAGCCTTGCTTCTGGGTTGTGAAGACCTAGCTAGTGGGTCATGCTGGTGTGTCACGCTCGCTCTCATTTCCTCTAATGCGTGATGGTGTTAAGGACACAGGAAAAAGCATTATGTGTCTTGGTAACACTATAACATTGTTTAGTGTAAGTAACTGCTGTATTTACCGTATTAGCATTATGCAATAGTTTCTTCCCTCTCCCTATTTATAGTCCATTAAAACTTTGAGGGATAGTATATTTGCAGGTCTTGCCATACTGTTTAGCTGTTGGACATTATCTCCTCTGCAGGCAAAGGAAAGGATAAAGAGGATCCATGCAGACCTCAAAGTACTGTTACGTATCAGCTCTCATTTGTAAACTTCTAAGTGCTACAGTTGTAAAGAAAACAGAAGTGTAGCTCCATGGAACACTTAACCGGGATGTAACTTATTGCCCATGATGCTATTGTTAAAGTCTGTGTTCCTTAATTACATAATTGTTTAGAAAGGTGGGAAAAAAGCAGACTTATGAATATATGCAGTGAACCTCCTGATGCATGGAAGAGAAAGAATGTACAGAATTTACTAGATGGGCAAAGATAAGGTATTCCCCAGTATATACATAACCTTTCCAGTGCACAGTTATTGAATATGGACATCACTTAATGACCTGAATGTGGAGGTCAGAGTGCTTCACTTTCAAAAGTTTTGCAAATAGTTGCTATAGACTGCACTCTGCAAGGCAGCAACAGACCGAGCACTAAATGAAATTGGCTTGAGGACTGGAAACATTAGCACAGCAGCACGGAGCTGAATGCAAGCTTGTTGGCCTCTGCTAAGCTCTGTGATGCCATCATCATACAACTTCATCTAAGGCAAATGGCTGTATCCCTGTGCTACGCTATGAAAACATGTTGCGATGCACTATTCTAAGCTCTAAGCTCCAACCACATCAGGACACATTAATTGCATCAAGATATAACTACTACTTACTCTGACTTGCTTGTGCTTCATTCCTCCAAGCAGAGCTGTGAAAAAGAGAAGAGAAAAACAGTATGAGCACTGCTTTAAGAAAGAAAAAGAAAAAAAGGTAGGGAAAGTTTATCCCTGACAGAAGGGTCACCAGGGCCGCAGCAGTAAGCAGGGCAGAGAGACTGCCTATGCTACTGAGTGCTGAGGAAAGGCTGTCTGGCACTGGTGGGCAATGGTAAGCAAACTGGTGACCAACTATGGGTTTTCCTCCAAGTGTGGCTCACTGATGGCATGTGCCTTTCTCCCTGGTTTTATTAAAGCAGTGGGCTACCAAGCATACAAAACCACTATCATCTGCCACCACCTGACATATGCTCTACCACATACAGTGCCTCTGCACCTCAGCCAAGCTGGTAAGCAGACAGGCACCTAGATGATTCCCAGTCACGTCCTGTAGCACTGAAATCTATCCCTCTGTCATCAACGGCAGCATTTTCCCACCACACAGGTGAGCTGTTAGAATAAAAGAGGCTCTGCGTTATGTGAATAAGGCCCATACCCCTTCCAAAAGTCTTGGGAAAACCCTCTGTGCCCATGGCTGTGTTTTGTTTGCCGTTCCACTCAGATGACATATTTCATTCAACTCTGCTCATCCCAGCCTGTGTGATGATGCTCAAGGCACACACAAAATTAACAGAAACGAGACTTTGCACGCTGCCAACTATCAAACCTGATACACGGGCTTTAACTTTCCAACTGAAGGCAAATGACAGGTGGGTAGCACTCACATATTCTCCAAGATGATCTTAGTCAAAAGGTTTTTCAGATTTTGGTGGAAGTTTTCTGGAAAGAGAGAGAGGATATCTTCTGCGCTTGTCAAGCCGCGATACACCACGTGCCTGGTGAGGCTGTGCAAAGCAGACACCAGCTGTAGGAAAGGAAGAGGAGAAACGGCTCGGCTGGGTTGAACAGCATTACCTACAGCACGGGACAGGCCTTCGGCTGCCAGCACTTCTCCAGCGAGACCGACCCCGCCTCGGACACCCCGTCCTGCCCGGCAGCCGCAGCAGGGAAGGAGCCCAGGTCCCGGCTGTACCCCAGCGCGCACACCTCCCGCTCTGCCCTCTCACCTCCCTGTCAGGCCCTTCCCGGGGGAGGATGGCTCTCGCCGAGCACGCTTCGTTACAGCGGCGGCCGCGGCCCTCCCGCTCAACTTCCCGAGGGCCC